TAAATACGTGTATATACTGCATATATAAATTTTGCAGTATATCATCCATAAAAATTAATCGTACACGTGAAATTATTAGCTGCTTTTTGATATTACTATCTCGCAGTCTAGGTCATTATCAACAACTTTCTTTTCAATAATTATATTTTCTATGATATTTTAAATAATCATAATTTCTCTCTTCCTTTTCAAAAGAAACAGATCATGTTCAAATTTTACTCTATTTTGTTTATTAGTTATCTCACAGTAAGAAATGTGTATAATACGTTGTTATTTGGATTAGCTTTAATGTTTTTTTCCTTAGTGTCAAGATCTTTATTACTAGATTAACAAAATTTTCCTTTTATTCAATTATCTGATCATGACAATACTGATTGAAAAAGTAATTGCAAGACACTTAAGCATTAGCAAAGAGAACTTAGATGAAGATGAAATGACAATCTTATATTATCTTTTGAGATTTTTTTAAAGATAAACTTTAATGACACGTGAATACAGTTTAATAATTTCTTGATATTTTCCCCTCTATCAACTTACTTCATTTTTTGAAACTTATTTTACAGTTAGTACAACTTTCAATTGTTTTCAAATTAATACGTATTTTGCTTTTAAATGCACAATTACATTATTTTCTACGCGAGTTAACATGCAGCAATTAATTTTCGATTTATATTTGGTAATAAATATTATATATAAATCAAAACGTTAAAAAAAACTAAAACATCTAGAAACTTAAAATTTGAAATGCTATATTAAAAACTATAGCCTATATTCATTTTATTTGCATAAACTATTAGACCAAACTAATAGCGATTAAATCAACCAGGAAAAATGCTTGAAATTTAGTAGTGAAGTGTAATATTGTCAACGACATTATTCCATATCATTACGTGCTTCGTCATTCACTTTTTATTAAAGTCTAATCCAAATCAAATTATTTGGCTAGTCTATAATTTAACCAAACCCATTTAAAAAATGTGATGGTACTTGTTTAAAATGAAACTGCTAATACGGAACAAGTGCGACTGGTTACCACTTATAAAAAGCTGTCAAGCAATCACAACAGTTTGTATAATTATTACATCATTTAATTTCCTTTATGTATACTTTTAGTGTTCAACTATCTTTATTTTTGATTTGGATTAAAATCGGAATCAAGCTGTGTTAATACACTGGTCTGACATTAATCAAAAAAGAAGTTTGATCAACAAAACTGGATGATTATTTTAAAAATGATTAGTTAATGTTTAAAAAACCTAAAAGGATATTTATTGATAATAACGAGACATCTTCAACATATTCGATTTGATATCGATCTGCAGCATATTTTAAATTTTAAACTACTTTAATTTCATTTTTACTTTACTGGCTATTATAGAATAGGGAAAAGAATGGTGATTGGTCAAGTTTTTGCATTTCTCGACGATTTGTAGTCAAGGGCCCCAAAAATATGAGTTGTAGGGAGGAGATCGGCGTCTATTTTGAATTATATCTCAGGAATAGATGAACCAAAAATTATGAAACTTGGCAGGATTATTTCTATACACGGGGAAGTGGTTCTATTAAATTTTGACGGTTAAAGGCCAAGAGAGTGGGGAGATAGGGGGATGGTGTTATATCTAGAATGGGGTCAGAGATTTAATGAAAATTTTACTCATTATTGGCATTTACATCTTTTTAAACTCATCTATATTTTTAAAAAGAGACATTTATCAAAATTCAACAAAATATCGTCGAATACCAAGCATAAATTGCTATAAGATGAATGAACCTCGCTAGTAATTTATGCTAGGTATGTCGACGATATTTTTATTTTGTGGCTCAAGAAACGGACCTCAATCTTTTTCTAAACAAATTCAACACCAATCCATATGGTCTTCTCCTAAAATTAGAAAAAGAGTGTGACAATTTGGTACATTTATATAAGGATAAAATAGGAATAGTCCTACTAGGAACCCTAATACTATTAAGTTCTTAGAACTGTTAGAAATTTTTAAAGTCAACCAAAAACTATTTTGTATCAATCGTAGGGATGCTGACACATTTCATACGGTGTGGAAATCCACTTATGAAATGCAATTTGGAACTTCGTCATCTTATAGTTGTTATTATTTTAATTTTTATCACTTTTATACCATTTCGTTCATTTGTATGTTTAATTAAATTGTTAATTTTTTTAATTTCTATTCGAGCACTCTCTTTAATTTTTAAATTATTTCCATTGAATTCCATATGTTTGTTTGTTCGTTTTATTTTAAATTCGTGTACTTCACTGAGGAAGGCATTGGGTCGAAAACATTTTGATTTATTCAATTTACTGCTGGAATTACCAAGGTACTCTGTTTATTCTGTTACTTATTCTCCGGTTAGATCTTATTTATTTACGGTCTACTTTATATTATAATTTTTCTAATATTGTATCTTCCTGATTAAGTGAAAAGATTCTAGCATTCGTATTCGTTTATTCACGAAAAAACTGACGTTATACAAATTAAAAATCTAGACATAAATTATATAATTTGTCTATTAGAATGTTAATATTTTGAAGAGTTGATTTATTGCCAATTGGTCAATTTATATTTAGATAGAACAGCTTCCGTTTAAAACTCGATTTGCTTATAAAAAGAATAATGTTTTAAGTGTCTGCCTGTCAAAAGTGATGAAAAAGGTCATCATTCTAGCGTTAGAAGTAGAACACGCTAACTTGTTTTTTTAAATATCAACGTTTAACATTTGAAGTTATAGTATTCCCCAATTTATTTTGATGATTAATCGAATTATCAAATGTTATGGTAAATTCAACTATACATACCTCGCACATTTAATACTTTAAGAGCTTTAAAATTATAAAGAAAATGTTACAGATATAGTTTATAATATTATAATTATTTTTTATACTTCTGAAGAGTTAAAATGAGCAATCTTTTCTGTATTTCATTAATTAATATTTTTAAAAATGCTTGTTTAATTTCAATAAAAAATATCTTGATTTTCCTGGAAACAAATATAAAATTTTTTTTATAAAAACCATTTTCCTGTCTTTTTAATCTAAGATATCATACTTTAGATTTTAATACAAACTGATTTTTATATTATACATTTAAACTTTCTTAAAATGTTAAATACTGTTAATTATTAACTGTTGCATGCATTCTTTCTAAATATATATCTGATTTTGAAATGAACAAAACCAATTGCAGAAATATTTAGCAATATAAATATATTTTAATCTTAAAGTAATTTGAACAACTTTAGTCTAATTTCATACATACTAGTAGGTGCTGCTAATTGTAATCACATTGTGAATAGTCTGATAACAATAACTCAGTAATAACATTATGTGGTGAAGTGTAATCAAATCACAATTAGCAGAAATTCTAGCTTTAGTGAATTCAAACTTGTAAATAGTAACAAAATGACAATTATAAATGAGTTTCTAACAACAACAAATGTTAATTTTGTAATATTATTTAATTTATATGTTTTAGGAAAAATTATTGAGGAGACATTCAATCTCCTATTTAATGTTGCCACCTTTTCAAAATCACTGACCCGGATGACAGGTCAGGTTAGTTTGAACAGAAGTTCCTGACGCATCCGCAATGTCATCTTACAATGAGAAGAATAATGTGCTACATAACTTAGCCCGTAGACATGTACAATCGTATATGCAAAAAAAGAAAAAGGTTGACAGGTTGCATGCCACACACAAACAGAACATGGTAGAATTGCAGATGAGTTTCGGTGAGAGTGAGTTCTTTCGCTGTTAAAATAGTGTAAATTTGTAAAAATATCTGCAAGAACTTTGTTTCATCATAATTTCACAATTTCTACGAAATTCTCGGACAAAATTAATAGTTCATCCAGACAGTGAGTCAATTCCCAGACTGTCCGGGTGAAAACTGGATGGGTGGTAACACTACTACTATTACAGGTATTCCAGTTTATCCTTATTCATTAGTGTATCATATGTTGATTCTGTAGTATTAGATGTACTGTACAATAAGTAGCACTTAGTGTATATTGACTTGTAGTTAATCACCATTACTGAAAAAATCCATATCAAATCATCCATAAATTAAAAATATATATATATATATCATTTTTGAAATTGGTGAATAACTGTTAAAATAAACTAAAAGTTAATTAAAAGTTGTAACAGAGAAATGGTAGTTATATGCATATTTTGAGTATTTACTATTATTTTAAAACTATTGATAAAATACTTGTCTAAATGAGATCATTAATTACATCAACAAGAATAATTTTTCTGATGAACAAGTGTTATATGTAATAAAAGCCATTTATTTTATATGGTAATGAATTTATTTTAAAATGATCTTAAAGTAAAAAATTCCCTTTCAGAAACAAATTTTCTAAATATTTCATCATTAATTTTTTTACAATATCATAAAACATATAAAATTAATGACACCATATAATAATGATATCATCATAATAACTGATATATATTTCAAACTATGAAGTTAAATCATTTTTAATATACAGGTATACCTCGACTTACGTCGTTTCGAGTTACAACGTTCCTGATTATACGTTGTTTGTCAAAAAAGTATATGGAAAATTAAAATCAAGTTTAAGTCATTTTATTCGACTTTACGTCTGTCCTCCACAAATATTGAAGTCGTAATATCACTAGAAAAGCATTTAAAGTACATAAAATCATATTAAAATATATACATTTAAGAGTATGCACTGTATTTACAGTACATGCATTTGTCAATTTAGTAAATTACTTTTTTCTGTATTATATTAAAAACTAAAATTTGTTTGTAAGCTTAAAATAGATTCTTATTAACCATATATTATTAAAAATGTATNAGTATGCACTGTATTTACAGTACATGCATTTGTCAATTTAGTAAATTACTTTTTTCTGTATTATATTAAAAACTAAAATTTGTTTGTAAGCTTAAAATAGATTCTTATTAACCATATATTATTAAAAATGTATTAATAAATAAAATACAGAACCGGGAATGGTAATTTATGGTTTAGCCTAGTGACAAGTAGATTCGGAGACAAGTAAATTCGACTTATGTTGCTTCTCCTGGAACCAATTACTGACGTAAGGCAAAGTATACCTGTACTGTATATCCAAAAATTGCTCAGAGTATTCTTAACTTTCCACAAAATTTTTGGAAAATTAGGAATAAATTATGTTTTATAATTCTTGATACTAGAAAATTTTAAATATCTGGAATACCAAATTTTTATTCTTATTTGTATTAAAATAAGTTATATTGACAATCTTTCAAATGTTATCTAGTTCACAAAATATTAACTGTTGTAAAATATTAATTTGAAAGAGAAGAGTAAAACAAAGCAATCTTGTGGTTTGTTAAATTTGACCCAGGTGCAATCTGGTCATAAAACCATTTACAGCAGCATGAAAACAGCTACAATTAAACAAGTAAACACACAGAAAGATGATCAGCCACATTCAGGTAGTGCAAATGTAAAAGAAAGCTTTACACATCTTTCTGATTGGTCAGAAGTTGGCTCCCAAGAAACATTTAAATTTGGGGAGAGATTGGAGAAAGTATGGAGAGTAAGGCTTGCAGCTGATATCACTTAGACCTCAGATATTCAGCAAGCCTACTGAGGACAGAAAGAGAAGTTACACTTCTCGGGTGCATTCTTTTATTTCTCCACATAACTCTGAGCGAGTGGCATGTTTAAAAATTCCTGCAGAACGCATTCCTATATTCCAGCCAGAGTGGACGCTGTCAAACAGCAAAAACGGTCACTGTATAGTAGTAGTTTATGATGGAAAATAACATGGCATCCTCCATGGCTCAGACAGTTTCATTTCAGGGTCTATTATGTGATTTTATGAAGGAAAATTTAGAAGTTGTGAAAGCAAAAGTTAGTGCACGCAGTGATGTAAATGTCTTCTTGAATTTTTTCAAATGGTAGTTGGCATTCTAATTTTTTTTTCATGCTACTTTGAATGATCTGTCAGCAAGATAATTCATTTTACAGTTAAATTTTACATTCATTCATTCATTCATTAGTTTAATTGTACATTTAAAACAAGGTACAAAGTCCTGCCCCGCAGTGAGCATTACAGGAACATATCCGTTAAATAGTTCCACCGAGTTACAGTATGCACTAATGAACAAAGCAAAGTGAAAAGAAAAATTAAAAAAAAAAATAAATAAATAAAAATAAAAACACAATGACAATAAAAGACCCGAACAAAATATGCAGCAGCTTGCTGCAGCATATAACAGATTACTTATCTGCAGGAATATTTTCGCAAATGAAGGTCGCAGTAAATACAATAATTCTGACAAAGTGTTTAACAGAATTTATCCCGTGCAGAAAATTTGTAAGACAAAGATTTGAGAATCCCATGAGTCCATATATAATATGCATACAAGTAAAAAAAAAAAAACAAAGTCCACACAGCTAGTAATTGTAAGTATCAATTCCAACACTTTAAACCCAAAAACAGAGAAAGATGATGAAGCTTACATATTTCTTACAGTCAGCAAACACAAATGTATATAGAGAAGTGATGATCTGCTTGTATTAGTTGTTGTGCTAAGGAGCAGAGGTAGCACTATGAATTAAACAATTTGTGTCCTGTAAAGGATTCCATAATTATTAAGGTAAGTAGTCAGCTGTCTTAATATATAAGGCTTTTGCTTTAATGTAGAGTGGACACTCCTTATCCAGTGTGTTATGTTCATGTTTATCTAGGCCACTCCTCAAACAATTAGCACATTTAGGCTTTTCACTTTTCTTTGTACATGTCTTAAACAAATGATCATCACCACAATGGCTACAAACTTTCTTCGGTGATGGGCAACTTGCCGCCAAATGTCCAAAAGCAAGACATTTGTAGCACTGTCGTACAGGGAAAAAATCATAAACCTTGCACGTTTTCCACTGAACATAAAAATATCCTTGTTTTTTAGTCATTGCCCTAACCTCCGGTGACATCTCTAATACCCACGATAAAAACTCGTCATTTCTCTGTTTGATTGAAAATCGAATGTTTAAAACCTTTTTAAACTCCTCCATCGTGTACTTCTGTGAAAAAATATTCTGTTCAAGCAGGTATTCTAGTAGGTCCTCTTTGGTAACTGAGTTCGGGACTGAAGTCACTTTCATAAGAGGAAGACGCCGTCTTGCGTTTCGTGCCTTTAATCCTTCTATTTTGTCTAATTGTTCCTGAAAGTATTCAGCCTCCTCTCTGATAGGAAAATCAACAGCAATTCCACCCTTGTTAATCTTACGAATACGCTTGACAGGCACCTTATGCAATCTTTGATCAAAAGAATTAGTGAGCAGTGTCTTAGTCTCTTCCGATGTGCTCTCTTTATTATCATTGTAAACTAGAACAGTGTATGTTGGTAACGAGGACTCCTTTTCAGACTGTGTATTCTTCAAAGAATTAAGATCGCGTTGTAAAATATCTCTATATGACAGAGCAGTAGTCCCTTGAGAACCTTCCACCCCTAAAAGTGGAGGTTTTTCTAAGTCACAAATAGTCTGTTTCACTTCCTGAATAGCCTCTAAATTTTTGTCACTCTGAGCAACAAGCAGCTGTTTGACATCCTCTTTCGTTGCCAACAAATCAAATTTCTGAAGCAGGAAATCTGATATGGAATTTTTCCTAATTACCTCTTCGGCGCTCTTCACTAAGGTAATAAATTTATCTGTAATAAATCTAATATGTTCCTCGGTACCCAATCGCCCTTTTGGGTTATTACGGAAATATCTCTTTAAATCCTCAATGGCTTCCTCAGATTCCTCCAGAAATTCTTCAATAGCCATCACTGAGTATAATAACTTCTAAAATTAATAATTTCCAAAAAAAAATAATAATAATATGAACAAAGAACATACGACTTCCGGTAAAAATTCTGGAATCTTCTATGGACCGTTACTATGGCGACAGTCGTTGTAGAAGAATGTTGAAAATTTTAAAAGTATTCAGTTTTCAAAAACTAATAACTTCACGAAAAATTGTCGTACGTTGAAAAACTTAACAGATTCTTAATCCACACGGAAAATGCTATCCAGAAATATATAACACTTAGAGCTTAAAGTAAAAATTTTAGCAAAAACTCAATTCGAATACAGAGCAAAATTTTCCTGCATCCATTGACTAAGCCGTTTAGCGCCCTCTTTTTAAAATTTTTAAATTTAAAAAAGTTAAATTTTACAATTGGGACACTTCTTTTGTTTCCAAAAATGCATATTTTAAAATTGTAGATCCCTCAATGGCAATACTATCGATAGTATGGGTGCCGCCATCTTTTTTTTTTTCACTGTCGTTCCTAAATGCCTACAAACGGCAGCACTCCAGTAATTGTGGAGATGCAGAGCAACCACTATAAACAAATGCACCCCTCCAGAAAGAACACTCAGGTACAGGTGAGGTCTGAGATCAGATGTAAAGTCTATCCACAGTCCAGAAATTATTGAGGAGACATTCGATCTCCTATTATTCCAGTTTATCCTTATTTATTAGTGTATCATTCAGTACAATATGGTGCTGTGATAAACTGTATATTTTCTGTAATATACTGAATTGAGTTGAGTGTGGATGTGTATTTCCTAGGAACCTATAGTACATTTTGAACATCTCAGCCCTGCTTACTCAAGAAATGTGATTGAGAAGACAGAGAACAGAGAGGCACTTTCACTACTCTATTTTGCAAAGTTGAAAATAGTCTTTATCATTTATATTTTTCTATCTTTGATAATTTGACAACTGATCATAATAAATATTAGTTTTATACAAACTGTTGTAAAAAGGAATTTGATACACTTTGCTTCACTTGATAATTCATAAACAGAACTAAACAAAAATAAAAATGTTTATATTCATATTTTCTGCTACAAAATTATGGCATTAAAAATTTTTTAAAATGAAGTAAAAACTATTAGATTTGATGGAATAAGGCAATGCAACTTTAGGGAAATCTGGAGAGCATTACTATACTTCTCAGGATGACTTTCTATGAGAACTAATCCTACTTTTTCTATTAGATATGTGAAGAAAACCTAAAAAACCTCCACAAGACCAGCTTGTTGATGAGGCACAAACCCATGATCAACTACCAGCATTTAATGGTTTTTATTCATTCAGCCACCAGTAGATAGTGATGTGTGATTAATCATTCAACACTCAATTAACATTAATTCTTTTTAATCAGTTAACAATAGATTAAATTTCACTCTTTGAATGATTGTCAAACTAATTATTCAATTTTCAATTTGTTGAATCAATTTAAAATTGTAAATTTGATTCAACAGATCATTTTAAAAATTCTTTCAATCCAAATTCTTTAATTTCAATGCACTTCACAGCATGGCTGCAGTGTTTTATGTAGCAGATTGTAGCTTAACATTGCAATGAGGCAGATAAAAATATTTGTTTTTCTCCCATACTGTTGAGAATGGAATGTAAGCACTCATATAAATTTTTTTCTACTCCATTTTTTTCTACTTTGTGAATTGTTTTAATGTTCTTCACCTTATCTTGAACTTTTCAAATCCGCATTGTAACAATAGTGCAACTTGTACTTATGCTGTTGGCATCAAATTAAAGTTTAAAAAGTATTTCTTAATGTAGTAAAAACTTTCAAAAAGTAACAATACATATGTGTTTAATGGATGAAAAGTCACAACAAATAAGTCAGTTAATTAATAAAAAATAATTGATTACTTTTACATATTCAATTATTAAAATTAATAATAACAAAAAAAAAACACATCACATATCATTACTGATAGACTTTTAAAATATTTTATAATTTCTCAACAAGAGATAAATAAAGTAAAAGATTAGCATTAAATAAAATTTAATGCTTATCTTTTATTAAATACTAAATGAAATAGTTAGATAAAAGTTTAATTATTTCATTTAGTTTCATGTGATGAAGTTACTATCGTTCAAGAAATACAGTAATTTAATAAAATACTACAACATAAAACAAGAAAACAGTAGTTACTGTAAAAAATTACTGATCTGCTTTAAATTCAGAAGACAGATATTTCACAACAGATTTGAAATTATAATATTCTGAAATTTTATAAGAATTTACAACTTTGTGCTAAAAATTTATTATTATATTCATTGTGATATTACTTAAATTAATTTAAACATTTAAATGTACTTACCAGGTGATCCATCATATCCTGAATCATTGCATTCTTCTATGGCTTTTCTTAATGCTAATGGACCAGGCCTTGGTACAGGCCGCTGAGGAACTGGTGTAGTAGGGAGAACTGATTCTCTCTTCCAAAATCTTACAAATGTTCCTGGAAAATAACCAATTTCTCCTGTTCTTTGATTTCTTCCAAGAACCCATCCTTGAGGATTTTCCTCAGTGCCTTCAAGGATAAACTGGAATGGTTTTCTAACTTCTAGAACATCTCCATGTTCTAAAGACAATTCTGTATCACCAGTCTTATCATATTTATATTGAGACCAATAATAAACAATTTCTGCCATACTATATTACAGAAGTACATTAATAATTGGCTAGGTAACAATGATGATAACTTTAAAATATTTTATCCTACATCCTTCAACTAATTTTTAATTTTTGCACAAGCATAATCCAATACTTGCAAGATTTGATGTGTAAAAATATGGAATGTATTTTCAAATTACAAAAACTGGCTGAAAATTTCTTTTATCATTGTCATTTAAATATTCTTCATTCATAATTTTAAACAAAACCATTAAAACTCTTTAACTGAAGACATACATTTTCCTTTTCTGATATTTTTGAATTCTTGAGTTATAAGCAATTCATCTGTTAAAAAAATTATATTATTATGTTTATTATTCAGAGAAAATTTCTGATAATTAATAACAAATCATAATAATTTACTTCAAACTTTCAAATATTAATATACCAAATATTACTTCTAATTCTATTCATGCATTAAAAATTTTTCAATAAAATTTATATGATGTGTGTCAATTTTTGTAGATTTGCAATAAAGGCTATAATAACAGAAGCATTAACTAAGTTGAAAACTGAAAGCCGTAGAAGAAACAAATGGTTCCAAACCCATCTTCTGTGGATCACAAGTGTTTCACCAAAAAAAGTTTTCTAATGTTTTTGTTGTAAATTTATTCCAATATACTACAGCATATTACTTTATTCATAGACAATTCATGTTTACTATTTTATTCAAAATAATAAAGTTTATTAGCTTATTGCTTTATTATTTTGTGAAAACAATAAACATGAAATTGCTTAAAGATTTTTGAATGTATTGATGGTAATGCTCTGCATAACAAAAAGGACATAAATTCTGTTCCATGACCTCAAAGGTTGAGAAACACTGGAGTAGACAATATAATATATACCAAAATTGCTTTTGTGAAACTGATTTTGGCACTAGTCTGAGGAAGGGAAATTTTAAGAAATTTCTTACATTACATATAGAACAAATACTTTGAACAGAGTCAACAACAGCTATATATCAGGACAATCAGAAAATTGTCATTGCAAAAAAAAGTAATAAAACTGTATTCTGAATTTGTGTAAACCTCAAAAAAATTGCAAAACTGTCAACTGAAATAAATGAAGAAAGATAAACTGTCTCTCTGAGTTTCAACTCTGATCATCCATGAAGTAGACTTAAAAGTACAGAAAAAATTTAGTGTTAATGGACCATCTGAATGCACTGTTTAGATTGCTCAGGATGCCCACCCAGATCACATGGAAAGAGAGAGCTTCTAAACTGAGCTTCACTCAGTTAATAGTTTGCAAGGTACTGAAGGAATTAGGCATCAGTACAGGATTGGAAAATGGGTGCTACAAATCCTGAAATTTGGTTTCACAAGCTCTGTGTGTAACCAAATTTCCAAGTGCACTTCACAGCTAAATTAGTACCAAAACTGCCCCTCTTTTTCAATTGATTTGTGATCTGTAATGAGAAGTATATTTACTATGACAATTCAATTATTCAATGTGCCTATTTGATGCCTGACAAATGATCCCCCACAAGAGAGCTTTGACAGCAAGCTTATGCTGCTGTGTATATGTTCTGGATTGTCAAGATATTTACCATCATTACATGCTGTTGGGCAAAGCAATTGACAGTGACAACTACAGAGATATGCTCAATAACTTGACTTTAAGTATTGTCAAAACTTACACATTGTGAGCCAACCAGAAGGGAATTTTCCATCAAGATAATGCTTCCAAGAAACAATCTTTAAACTGGGCAACTGATCCAAAAACCTGGTTGAATGCTGATCTTGGTGACAACTAACAATGGAGAATACTATTGCAATTGGACTGCAATTTGAGAAAATTGTAGACTTATAAATTCCCACCATTGTCCATCTGTTTGTCTTTCCCTAATTTCAAAAACGGAGTTAGATAGACCAGATATGGAAAGATTTGGGCAGGAGATCCTGATTAACTATATACAAACTTCCAACATAAACTGGAAGTCATGTTACTTCAATTAAAAAATTTTTTCCCTGAAAGGAGTTAGATGGATGACCTGCACAATTCTATTGTTAATGGAAAAGTATGTTGTACAGGGGCACTATTAATTTGAGATGGAAAGCATATATTTTAAATTAAAAAATTATTAAAAATATAATTAAAAATTGCAGCCCGGCATTGTGACAATGTCACAATAAATAACTGCTCATTAATTTTTCTATTAGCTTTAAATAAAAATCACTTTTTTTCACCCTAATTTTCAGCAATGACTTTGATTTTTCTTATATTTACATATACCATATCGTATTTCACCAATTCTAAGACTACTTTTTCTACTTTTTATCTATTTTTACTTGTCTGAAATAGAGGCATCCAAAAAATCATTGGAGCTTTACATTTTCAGTCCAAAATAATCAGAAGTCATTGCAAATGTAATGTATTATGCACAAATGTTTGTTTTTGATTATACCACACTAATTCAAATAAGTTTTTCTGGTAACAGGTAATTTTTTTTATTTCAGTTCTTAGCACTTAATATACATATTTCAAGATGACATTATGATACAGCATTAAAAGAAAGTTTATTGTTTGTGCAGATCATAGAAATAGAATTGCTAGACGTTATCTGTTTCACAGCATTTTTATTGTTTGGTAACTTCTTACTTAACAAACAAATAAAATTGATTCCTTAAAATATAGTTTTAAATAATCAAATCAATTTTATTTTATTTTCCAGTTGTTTCAATAAATAATTGCTCAATCTCAATAATGGTCAAGTACTAATCAATTCAACAAGCAAAATCATTGTGTGATATTACAAAAGTGAAGAATCAGTTTGAAACTGATCTACATATTACAATTAAAAATAATAATAATGTTTAATTTACAATGTAAATAAGCTCTGAAAATTTCTAGGTACATGTCCCATACTTGCTCAATGTGTTCAATAATGCTTAATACTACAGAATTCTACAGTTTTATTGGTCAGGTAAATAGGCTATGCTGTTAATAATAATGTATAATTTACAATTGTTTGTTAAAAAAAAAACATTCCTCTTTATATATAACTAGATTATATTTTAACTGAAATTCTGAAAAGATCATCATCTATCAAAAAAACTTTTGTTAGTTTTATGGAATGCTTATGAGAATTGATAAAAATGGCCAGCAATAGTAGTTCTAATATTAAGATCCTTTCTGATAACTCAAAAAAAAAATACATTATGCAATATGATTGACAAAAATTTGGTTATATTCCTTCCTATATTTCTTTTTCATTTGCATCTAACAAAAACTGTTATAATTTATATTTCATTAGAATATGGAACAAGATTAAGATTATTCTCTTCAAATATTTAATTCTTTTTTCAAAAAGTTAACTCCTTGTCTTTTGGTGATGGTATTCTGACATTGTTTGCCACAACCATTAAATGATGTTTATGGCGTAAATATGAAAAAAAGATTTCAGCAAGTGACCAAATGAATTTTCCACATCATAGCGTACATTTTTCCTTTTTATTTCTTAATTGGTCTTCTCAGAATGTTAACCATCATTGTCCCAGAGATATATGGAAACATGAAAGCATTGTAAAATAATAAACTTGATTATTAAATAAGTTAAAAATTAAATATAAAACTTTAAATTCCTTTTAAAATCAATTTTTCAAAAATATTTCCTCAAAAAATTGATGAAAACTTCATGGGTTAATTCTACAGAAATAACCACCGTTTTTTTGCCTGGACCGCATTTAATCAGAGACGATAGCTTATCTTCGTATTCTTTATTTTCTTACTTACTATGCATTTCGGGTGCAATATTTTCGTATCACTTGCACCCCTCTTCAACTTTTTTTTACATTTCTATATATTGGTAAATTTTAATTATTACATTTGTTTTTACGGTAAATTACAACAATAGTTATTTGGATATATTTATACAATAGTTAACTAACCTGTTTTTAAGTTAAGACCCACATCTTTCCAGTTTTGGTGTTGTGTCTTTTGAGGTGTTTTTTTAGTTTGTTTTTTGCTTTTTTTTTTTTCTTTGCTTTTTGCTTTTTCTTTTTTCTCTTGTCTTTTTTTTTCTTGCTTTTTTTTATTTGTGTTTATGGTTTTTCTTTTATTTTTTTATGTGATGGTATTGCGTTTGGCAATGTGTGGGTTGCCTTCGGAGGTTCTAAGGGGATTTCGAACTTGTTGATGGGTTGTTGATTTCAAAGTGTGTTTTGGGGTTGTTAATTTGAACTTTTTGCAGATGTTTGTTTTAACTTAAAAACAGGTTAGTTAACTATTGTATAAATATATCCAAATAACTATTGTTGTAATTTACCGTAAAAACAAATGTAATAATTAAAATTTACCAATATATAGAAATGTAAAAAAAAGTTGAAGAGGGGTGCAAGTGATACGAAAATATTGCACCCGAAATGCATAGTAAGTAAGAAAATAAAGAATACGAAGATAAGCTATCGTCTCTGATTAAATGCGGTCCAGGCAAAAAAACGGTGGTTATTTCTGTAGAATTAACCCATGAAGTTTTCATCAATTTTTTGAGGAAATATTTTTGAAAAATTGATTTTAAAAGGAATATAAAGAAAACAGCACCATGGATATATATATACACATCTATTACTTATAGCATAAAACTTTAAATTTGATGATTCAATAAACATATTTTCCTTCTTGCAAAAAATTGAATTACTTCCTAAAACTTATTCAAGACATTTTCATAGTTCAAACATTGAATAATGTGAACTTTTTTCCAAGTTCCCTGAAATTCAAATTAACAAAGTTCTTTGTAGCATAAATTTAGCCACAAAACTGCTATATATTTAAAAATCATTTAATAAAAGAAAATTTAAATTATCACTTCTAACACAAAACTCCAACAGAATCTGAAAAACAAATATTTGCACATTTGCTGGTAATAACAATGGAAAATTCCATGACAAACTATATTGATTGTCATGAAATTTTTTATCAATATATGATGTTATCTTTTAAAATTCTTTTTCCTACTATATAGTTTAAAAACAATGCAGATTTCATCTGCAAAAAGTAAACAAAATGCTAAAACATATATTAAGTCACACCTTCCATACTATTTCTAGCAGAAACTATTTAATAAAACTTAAACTAACATTTTTTGTTACATTAAGTTGCCTGCTTCAGGTTTTAAAATTCAGAAATAGAATGTCTAAAATAATGAAATATTAGTTTCATTAAGTTTTATTAAACAGTTTCTGCTGGAAATACTGTAAAAGGTATGACTTTGTAAGTTTCAGTTCATGACAATTATAATAAACATATATTGCATTTAAGTATGAAGCAATTTTAATTTTAAA